TTTAGATTTAACTCTGTAACGTTGCTTCCTTTAGAAGGTACAGACCTATGAAGTTCTCGCCTCACCCCTCCACCACCCACTGCAGCTGGAGCACAACAGCTCACCCACACCTCTGCTGCACGACGGTGCTGCACAGTGGCAAGTTGTAATGATTCAGTGAGTCAGAGTGATTCAGCCACACATGCTCAAACCAGACACTAAATCTGAAGAAGAACAGTGATACAGAAATCCCCATGCTGCAAGTTAACAGGATTGAATTCTTAGATTTGTTTCGTGACCTATTGACCCCTACAGAGAGGGGATCTGGTGACTCTGTCATGCTGTGGGGGGCATTTTGCTGGTATAGTTTGGGTCGACCTGCCTCCTTTGAGGCAAGAGTCTCTGCAAATCAGTGCAGTGTTGTTGTGAGTGGTCACCTCTATGCTATGATGCCAACTTTTTTTTATCCTGATGGGAATGGTCTCTTCCAGGATGTCAATACTCCCATCCATGGGGCACACTGGGTCACTGAATGCTTGGACAAGTATAGAAATGATGTAAATTATATGCTATGGGCTTCACAGTCACCAGAGTTCAACCTAAGCGACCAACTATGTGAGATTTTGGGGAGACATGTTACACAGTGGTCTCATCAAAATACCAAATGAGGGAATATTTTTTGGAAGAATGGTGTTCCACAGATTTGGAGGCTCAATGCTAAGGTGCACTGAAGCTGTGCTGGTGGTCAAACACTTTAATGAGACACTTTATGTTAGTTTTCTTTTAATTTGTCGCCCATCTATACATCTCACATATCAAGGAAGCAACAATGACGATGTAAAATGATAATAAAACACATTATACTAATCTAACACCGACATAGATGCCTTTACTTTAATGCTTTCAGTCCACTTTGTTGGGTCTATTTGTACTTATGTAGATTTTTTAGTGCAGGGCTTTTATTAGTGATGCTCTGTTGTTGCTACTTCCACTACATGACTTCAGCTCATCTTAAACAAAACATATCCTAACATTAACCCACCCTCTGTGGCTTAAACTAGACTTCTAATCTTTCTTTAATACTGAGAACCTGTTGAAGCTGTATCATAAAAAAATAAAATAAACTCTGTCATCTCTCCACTCCTATTGTTTGAAATTTCAAGCGTGTTACCTTCTGTCTTCATCCCAATCAGAGAGGTGACAGCAGGTGCTTTTCATTGGCAGGAAAAGTCAAAATACCCGCTGTGACATCTCTGATTGTGCTGCAGCTCCCAGCACAGCAGACCTGAAACATGATTGACTGTTTTCACACTTTTTTTTTTTTTTTTTTCCAGGAGACTTCCAATATTCACTGTCCTCTCCTGGTGTTGTTTCAGGTCACAAATGCTTCCCTTTGTCCCCGCACTAGAAAGCCCGTTCAATCACATTTGACATCGATCGTCACATTGGACTGACAGCAAATCGTTCTATTTTCATTTTCCACCTTATTATACAGCTCATCTGTCTGATAATGAAGGCTTTCACTAAAAGGGAAAAATGTATGTTTCAGACTTTAAGATGTGATGCAGGATTTCTGTTGAAATTCACCACCATATGATACATTTATATTCACGCTACATGCTCCCAGAAAGTGTGTCAGAACATCTCTCGTGGCAGCACGTTTGATTTCCATACTTGCATCTATACCTCTTTCATTACTCCCCTCACTTATTTCATACGGCCTCATAGGATTCAGTTATAGTAACCTACTTTGAGAAATATAACAAGACATTTGTCGCGAGGAAAAAAATGGGCCCGTTTCCCATTAATGAAAAAAAAAAGAAAACAAAACACAATGAGACACACCGAGGTTTTAGTCACAGTTATGGGTGAGCTCCATCAGCGGCGCTTAAGAACATCGACCCACGCATCACACTCGAGAATAGTGCGCGCATCCACTTTATCGCGCACACAAATCAGTGTGGGGGCAGCGGCGCATAGGCAGGAGTCAGGAGTGAAAGCAGTGGGCAGGCTACTATTGATTGACTTACAAGGCTCGCGAAAGCCGTTAACATGACAAAGACGCTGCTCTGTTGAGTTCCATCATAAACCAGGCCGTCGTAAACTGCAGGTGGTCAAGGCTGGCCCAGGCAGGCTGGGTTTTTAATTGCGGCCTTGTAGCTGGTTTATGAAACCTAAAATGTCACAAGTTCAAATCACTTGACTTTTATCTGTGTTTGTGCAAAACCTCGACCTTGATGTTAACTCCAAGAGTGGAGGTCCTGCCTTGACGCATCTAAAACTGACATATTCAGATCCTTTGATGAAGTAAAAGTGCTAAGATAGCAATGTAAAGTAGTATTCATCCATCCATCCATTATCTATACACCGCTTAATCCTCACTAGGGTCGCAGGGAGGGCTGGAGTCTATCCCAGCTGACTTAGGGTGAAGGCAGGGGACACCCTGGACAGGTCGAAGTAGTATTTAGTAAAAGTGAAAAAAAAACTAAACAAAGTAGGATTGTATAAGTATTAGCAGCAAAATGCAGTTCAGATATTAAAGCCTCTGATGTACATTATATATTTTATTTACACATATACAGCCATCCTCAAATGTATTCATATCCTTACATTAAAAGGCAAAATTCACAAAAGTCACTCAAATAACTAGAAACTGAAAAAAGTAATAATAAATAAAAATTTGCTAAATTATCATTTAGTGAAATAACACATTGCTTTTGAATTGTGGTTGAAAAGAATAATTTAAAAAACAAACAAACCTGTCAAACAATTTAGAGCTGATGAGCAGTGGGCCAAAATCAAAACACCTGTCAACAGGTGCAGAAGTCTGATTGAGAGTTACAGAAAACACTTGATTGCAGTGATTGTCTCAAAGGGTTGCTCAACAAAATATTAGTTAAAGGGTCCCAACATGCTTGTTTGCTTGTGTTTTGTTTTCTAATATTTCTGTTGAACCACAATTCAAAAGCAATGTCATGATGTTCATTTTTTTTTAAATTTTATTTATTATTATTTTTGAATCATGTGAACATGTATCAGAATGAAACCATGTAAGAAGTTTGGATGGAAAATTTATTGTTTTGTGGAATTTTGAGCAACTTATAGGGATCTGAAATGCAATCATGACTATACACGTTTTTTTTTTTTTTTTTAACAAAGTGTTCAATCTTACAAGCTTGTTATACAATCCAAATGCAAAATCATAATTTTAACCATAACCGAAGCTGTTGATTAAATGTAGTGGAGTAGGAAGTACATTATTTCTGTCTAAAATGTAGTAGAGTGGAAGGAAAAAAGTAGCATAAAATGCACAAGTATCTCCAGTAGTACTTGAGTACATATACTTTCCACCACAGATAGCTTTATAGCAATATTGTCTCTTCACATAAATTTAAAAAAGACATGGGGACCAGCTGAGGTCTTTTTTTTTTTTTACTACTAAGCTACTGTATTATAATGAGGTTAAGTTAAATATGTATGAGTTACGGCCAAATTATACACTGAAGAGTTCTTAAATGCTTCACAGGTATGACTTTATTATTATGACAGAGCTTCTAGAAAGGAATGATGTGACGTAATAGTGTCAAAGTTTTTTATTCTGAGTTACAAAGAATTACAAGAAACCAGAAAAAATTAAAAAAAAAAAAAGATTTTAGAAACCCTTTTACTGTAAATCTCCCTCTAATAAATCATCAACAGGTCCCTGTCTGTAAACAAAAGGCAAGACATTTGCAAGAATGCTACACTCTCACCTTATTATGTGAATTAGAAAGCAACTAAATATCTACTTACACTGTTACACTATGACATTCGTACTCTCAACCCTGTAATATAACACAATCTCACTGTGCTTCTATTGGCATCATGCATGCAAATATTCACATCATACAAAGATGCCATGGCTCAAACATCTATGCCTGAATTCAGCAGTATTTTTGCATATTAAACATCGTAGTTCTGTTCCATATATATTACTGGAAAGAAGCTACTGAGTGCAGTAGTCAGTTTCAACTTATTTGTAATGCTGTTGTCCCACCCACAAACGCACTAGTTAGTCTGAGATACAGGTGTTATGATGAGAGGGGCAGAGTTTAGCCCATTTTCATTGTCTTGAGGGCAAAAGTAAGGGTAAAGTTTTTCTTTAAAGGTGTAGCCACTGAAAGAATAGATGTGTGATTGAGAATCTGCATCATAGAAAGAAACCTCTCCTCCATCGTAGTCGACGAAGATGCCCACTTTTTGAAGCTTTTCTTCCAGTGTGATGACAACAGCTGAATCTTCATATGCAAAATATTTGCCCGATTCCAACCCGAAGGCCAAATAACCATCTGAAACTGATAGATCTGTGTCTCCTTTCCTATCCACAGACTCTCTGGCCACTCCAACAGCCCACTTAGGCTTTTCGTTTACCTGCACCTCAAAGTAAGACTTCCCTCCCGTGAACCCCTCTTTTGCTAAAATTTCTTGGTATTTCTCAAATCTCTTTGGATTGTTGGGAAGCTTCTGTTCCTCTGCAAGTGCAACTTGTTTTCTATCTTGGCTTATCAGAAGGCAGCAGTGCGCCGTGTCGGGGTCAAGAGTCAAGTCCACCGCGTGATCCCTCATTCTTTTCATTTTGATCTCGGGAATCTTTGCCACGATCCCATCTGCCCTGTTTTCCACCCGGGCCACGGCTTCTCTCACCGCCTGGAAAGACAGGTCGCTGTGAACGCTGGTGTCGGTCCAGTCCTTGTTTGCTGGAGAGCACAGGGTCGAGAAGTTCTGGAGGAAGCAGTGATGGTCCTCGGACCGTGACAGCCGCTCCAGCTGGCTGCTTCTGCTTTCGAGGTCAGCCACCTCGGCCCTCAGCTCTTTGAGAAAACCTTCAGCCTTTTGCTTCGTCGCTCTGTGCCTCGCCTCGATCACTTCAACGAGCTCAGCCTGGCTTTTCTGAATGGAGCGAATGAAGCCAGCGAACACCTGCACGCTGGCCTCTATCTCCTTCTCAGCTTCTCTCTGGCTGACATCAAGAGAATTCTCAATCTCCTCTATCTTATCGGATCGTGACTGCACCATCTGTTGGATATTTGCCATCACTCCATCTTTTGTTGCCATCACTGCTTCGTATTCTTCCTCCAGCGGGACAACATCGTGATTCTTGTGATCGGTTTTGAGACACAAGACGCAAACACAGGCCTGGTCGGTCCTGCAGTACAGCTCTGTTATCTTGTCGTGCTTTTTGCACATCCTATCATCCAGATTACTCACAGGATCTATGAGTTTGTGGCTCTTAAGAACCGAAACTCTCTGATGAGGCTCGAGGTGGACGTCACAGAAAGACGTCAGACACATCAGACAGGATTTAACTGCCTTGGCTTTCATGTCGGAGCAGATATCACAAAGGATGTCTGCTCTTTCAGGAAGTTCTGGCTCCGGAGTTGAGGCTTTCATTCGATTCAGCTTTGTAAACTCAGCGGCTAACTCAGACATGACGGTGTTCACATGGAGTTCAGGTCTCGAAGAAAATGTTCTTTTGCAAAACGGACACTGGCAAGCGACGCTGTTGTCCCAATACTTGCGGATACATGCGCTGCAGAAGTTGTGTCCACATGGCGTGGACACTGGTTCAGTAAACACATCCAAGCAAATGGAACACAGGAACCTCTCCTCTGACAGCAGACTGCTGGCAGTGGCCATGTCTGGGCAAGAAACAAGTAAAAACAACAACAACAGCCATCTTAGAAATCAACAAACTGATAAAATCGTGTATTTTTACTTATTTTTGTTGCATATGCAACAAAAAAAAAAAAACATAAAGTGAATGAAATCTTACCGGCAGTGTTGAAATTGTAGCTGCACAAAAAACAGTAAAAAAACAAATTAAGATCACACCTCGAATCGTGCCGTTCTCCAGGCACTTCTTTTAGTTTCGTTTCTGCGGGTTCACATGGTTCAGTGGCTCCTCCCCTGCTCCTCTGTTGTTACACACTGTCTGATAGAATTTAACTCTTTCCACTGCAGTCCCACAGTTAGTATTTGTCAGATTAAAGATACACTTTACTTATTATTTGAAAAGATCCTTGTTTTTTGTATTTTAGTGTATGGCAGTGGTGCAGGAAGTAGTCAGAGCCTTTACTTTCATTTTAATGTTACTTCAGTAAAAGTGTTGTCATGAAAATGTACTGAAAGTATGAAAAGTCAAACAAACTTCATACAGATAAATGTCCTCTGGGACTGTCACACTGTTATATCTTTGGATTATTATTACTCATGCATGAATTTAAAAGCAACATTTTCATTCAGTTCAATGAGGTGAAGCTCATTTTGTACTATTTTGTATCCAACTGCAACTAATGATTATTTTCATTACGAATGACTGAATAGTTGTTTGGTTTGTGGAAGAAAAAGGTTAAATGCTGCCACACAAGCTATTATCAAAATAGTTTTCCTGTCAGTTGAAAAATTGTGAAATCAACTAATTGTTTCATCTGCACTGGTATAAAATGTTGGTTCGTTTATTTATTGACAAAATGTCTTCATTTATAAGGTCTTCATACGTTTTATGTCAAAAAACTGAACTTGTGAAGTAACTAAAGCAGCTGGATGAATGTAACGAAGTAAAAATGACAATTATTCTTTGAGATGTAGAGTAGAAATACAAGTGGAATGAAAAGGAAGTGAAGTAAAAGTACTTCAAATATGAACACAAGTACAATGAGCAATTGAGTAAATGAATTTGGGTACATTCCACCATTGTTATCGTATTAGTCATTCAGATACTTATGACATCTGTATCTGTATATACTGCATTGGTTTTTGTCTGTGTAGTTGTATTTTGTCCACAACAAATATAACAAGTTTATTGTACCTCAATTCTCATATTTTAATAAGAATTTGTCGCCTGCAAACAGACACAAAGTTAGAATCTGTCAGCCTGTTGCTACCTTCTGCAATGACGATTCCAATGCTAATATTTAGCAAGTATAAAGTTCACTATTTTTTTACTTCTATTTGACTGCCTCTGTATTTGCCCTGTGTGGACTGACGATAAAGTGTGTATAGAAAATAGATGGATGAGTTTTTTACTAATTAGCACTTAGCTGTGGTGGCCCTGAGAGTTCAACCAGCTAAGCTGATAACAACACACTAATTTGGAAAGCAAAAGAAAAAAATAGCATCTTCACCAATTTGTCAACACACACGTGCAGCGTTGCAAATAAATGCGAAAAAATACAACCAATTACTGGAACAAGCTGCAAAAACAAAAAAACACAATCAAACAATGAATCTGAACTTCATTTGGTTTGGTTATTTTTCTCAAAATACTCTGTTTCATGTATTGTCAGATTGGTGACATGTCTTTTTTTAGTTTATATGCACTTCCTGTGTCGCAGCAGTGCTGTACGCAGTAAAGCTGAGGCTAATGGGAATGTGATAAATTGCACATTTGGTCATAAACCAACCTACTGGACAAATTACATTTTTAGCCATGATTGTGCACGAGAAGAAATAAGGGATGACTTGTCACGATTCATCTTTAACGTGACGCGTTCGTCTGCAGCAAATCATGGCGGTCCATCTAACAGTTGTTGAGATCAACCGCAGGTTTTAACCTTGTGGGGTTGCTGGAATAAGTCGTTGGAGCGTCACTGAAATCTGAGGGATTCATCTGTTTCGGGAAGATGAAGGACAATCCAGAGCTGCTGATTTCTGTTTGGGCCAAAGTGGTGTGAAAAAATACTATCCCTAGAGTAGTTAAACATCAAGACTTAGATGTCTTTATCAGATACACCTGCTCCACACTGTAGTTACAACAATCTGACTGCCCTTTTCATCAAAATACTCTGGGATTAATTATCATGTTCGATGGCTCCACTCCACTGTGCTCAAAGCGCCTTTTTGTGCGACTGTCATTTGATGCTCATGTTGCTCATCATCCTCACTTCCATCTGCTGTCTTTGTCCCTAGGATTCCCAAACGCAGACTTGCCGTCGCTGTGGGTGTTTGTCGTGGCTCTCTTTAAAAATGATTATCAGTCCAACAAGGATTTCACAGTCTGATAACTTCCTATTTCAAGATAACATTCTTGTATTCTGTTATCTCCTTTGAGATTTCGTGCCTATCATCTGTCTGACTACTCCTGTTTAACTTTGGTGCTGTGCTTTCTCTTTGAAGAGGCCGGTGGCTTCCAGGTGAGGCTGACCACAAGAGGTCAGGCACAACAAGCTGGAGCTGGAGTGCCTCAAGCTTTGCTTAAGTGGACTTTTCCACTCTTGGGAGTTGAACGTAAAATCTATGCATACCCTCGTCTATGAAAAATTCTCAAAGGTAGACATTTTTCAGCATTTTATTTAAATCATCTCACTTGTTCTAACCATATCTCTCCCTCTCTCGCGGCACATTTTCCCTGTGGGACCAACAGTCAGATATCTACACAGCGCGATAGGCACAGAGCCAAGCAAACAGATGTTAAAACTTGGCAAATATAATGTGGAAATTTACATGAATGGAAGCGGAGTACTGCAGCAGCAAATCTGCAATTCTCTGTTTGTCTTGTTTTTTTGTTTTTTTTTTTTACAAACATACCTCCTTTCTTTGCCTCTCGCTCACACCAGTGCACACCATGTTTGCTTTCCCCTTAACCAGTTTGTATTTGTCATGCATGCTCGGTCATGCCCTGGTCCTCGCTCCCCCCCTGTGGCAGGAGGAATTAGAGAGCTTAGCGGGCTACAAAAGCATGAGAGGTGATAAACTAACTGCAGCAGAATGAGACTGGACACAGAGGCACTGGCCGGGCATAGAGATGAGCTGGCTTTCGGGGAAACTGTATTTCTGGTTATTCTATCATGTGTGACCTATGAGGAAATGGAAAACAGACATGCTCCGAAATAGCTGGCTAAAGAGTGGCGATATCCTGTTTTTCAAGCTCTGGTTAGATGATGTTTATTGAGGGAAAACTTGATCTGATGAACGGCGTCCTCTGCTAAGTAATGTTGTTGTGCTAGACTGATTGTCGCCAGTCCAGGTGACCAGTGCAGAGGCCTGCAGCCAGCATCTACTCCTAATAGCTTCCAAGCATATTGAATTACGACGGAGCCCCGGAAGGGACATGGAGAAAGAAAAAAGAAAACAGGGAGAGGAGAAAAAAATAGAGGTATCTTTTTCGGGATCTTGCAATAACTTTTGCAAGATCTCACAAAACTATAGGTATGTATACTTGTGGGTCTTTTTTGCAGTATAAAGAAACAACAATGGAGGACACCCACCTGTACTCTTGCATATTTGTGCCATTCAGCTCTGGACGTTGCGAGATCTCGTAAAAGATACCTCATTGTTTTTTCCTTTCCCTTTTTTTTTCTTTCTCCATGTCCTCTCCAGAACTCCGTAAATTACCGAGGTGGAGGAAGAAGTAAAAATATATAAATGAGTAAAAAGAAAAAATACTGAAGAGTCTGTTTTAGTCAAAGAGGGAGTCTCACAGTGATGAAGAATTATTACTGCATTAAAAGCAAATTATTGAGAACACTGAGCTGTGAAGCATCAGATGGGACACAGGAGCAGCTACTTTATTTTGCCTTTTGTATCACATCTACAATAATGATTAAATGTGTGAATTTTCTTCTTTTATAAAATTCCTTCTCTTATTTAAATGCCGTTCTGGTGGGTTTTGTGTATAGTTGCAGTTCTTCGGAGACTCAATGCTTCATGAAATAAGAAAAAAGCAAACAATCCAACCAGTTTTTAATTAATTAGCTCACTGCTGAAATTTCCAACTCTCCCTTTGAGGTCACACAGATGCTCTGTTCTGTTAATTCCTAGTCAGCTTTACATAATGAAGCACAATTTAAAAAATGTGTTAGTCTTACTGGCTTGAATAGAATTCAGAATCAGATGTGTCTAAGTTAGCAGTAAAGTCTTCTAATGTATATTTAGTTGTAAATCATTATTAATCCCCTGAACCACCACTGCTAGCTTTAAAAGGCATATTTTATTTAAAAAAAAAAAAAATCTTTATCAAAGCAAGAAACTTTAAAAATGAAATCAATAGTCTGATTTTCAGCTTGAATAAATGAACAAATGTTGTGTGATGTATGGCTCTGCCTGGAAAAATAATGAGATCTAAGCTTAAAATTGCAATCTTTCATCCCAAATTAGTTATAAAGTTACCAGGAATAAAACATTTACACCAACCAGATGCTACAAAAGAAGACATAACATTACACTCCAAGGCAAAATTGCAAAGTCATGAGTGTCTCAGCCGTGACTGACAGTTATAAAAATACCGGGACTTGTTTTTGTTGACTGGGTTGAACTGCAGGCTGTGCTTACATAGCATAAATAGGAGACACATATTAAAAATGTAAATTATCTGTAGCATGTAGAGCTACCACTCTTTTCCAATATTAGTAACACCCACTGGCACTTGAAGCACATGTTGATTCCATCCATCCATTATCTATACACCGCTTAGTCCTCACTAGGGTCGTGGGTCTATCCCAGCTGACTCAGGGTGAAGGCAGGGGACACCCTGGACAGGTCACCAGTCTATCACAGGGCTACACTTAGAGACAGACAAGCACACTCACATTCACACCTACAGACAATTTAGAATCACCAATTAACCTCAACATGTTTTTGGACTGTGTGGGAGGAAGCCGGAGAACCTGGAGAGAACCCACACTGCATGGGGAGAACATGCAAACTCCACGCAGAAAGATCCCGGTGCCCCCACCAGGACGCGAACCGGCGAGGCAACAGTGCTAACCAACTGCGCCACCTTGCAGCCCCATGTTGATTCCAGTTTCTTTCATAATAGTCAAAGAAATCATTGTCTTCTCTTTTTTTTTTTTTTTTAAATTCATAACATTGTTTCTTTGACATGCTGCAGAGATGACATTTTTGAGTTCGCTCATGGCTGTACTGTTTTCATAGAGGTGCAGGACTTTGTACTGAAGTGAATAATGAGCCTGTGGTGAGTAATAATGTGATGGGAACGAGAATGGCACATAAATTTAGTTGGAAGTCAGAGGATAAATGTACAAACCGGCACCTGTGATCAAGCCTGTGCAGGTTTGAGGCCATGTCCTCGGTACGCCGTGCCTTTTTTTTTTCTGCTTTATCTTTGTTTATTCACGTTCAGCTCACTGTGAAATTCTTCAGGGGGTATGTGGTTACATTGTAACCAAGGCTATGCTGTTAATGGCACAGCGGTATTCAGCCTAAGAGTTGCGGCTCCATTTCCTTCTCTGTCACTCCCAGTTGTGACCCAGTTCACACCGACCTGCACAGACTGTCAGAAGTAAATAAACCCAGTGAATCAATACTGCTGCAGCTTCCTTGAGCTGCTTAATTTATTAACAACTAAAATCGATCCTCAATTAAATGAGCATTTCCATAAGCATGCATTTGACACTTAAAGGATCTCTACATCAACAAATTAAACCTCAAACTCAACATTTTGTTCTACGTTTGTTTTGCATATTTTGTGGAGAGCATATTTCTGTCATATGATTTTAGGCAAATGATTGAAATAGAACTCATTGTGCATTTTTGTTAATATTCATTGCATTTTGAACCCCAGAATGCGCTGGAAATATTTTGTAGTGCTAATGTGTGCCAGCCGCCGGGCCTGCAGATGTACTTCAAAAGAGTATGTAGTAGTTTTTGATGCGTTGCCAAGGGGTACGGAGTCAGGGTTTCAATGATTGATCCATTCAATAGCAGCATATTCCAGCTAGAAATTGACATTACCAAGTATGAATGTTTGAATAAATATATCGGAAATTACGTTCAAGATGTAGCTGTGACCTCAGGATGATTCTTCGCTTCATGGACAAATAAACTGGAATACAGTTTGGCTGGTTGGGGAAAGGTTTTGCATCAAATACATCCAGCAAAAGAGACATTAGAGTGACTTAGATTAGAAGATGTGTTTGTGGACTAGAAAAAGAAGAAACAATCAGTCATTTGTTTCATAAAGGTATGTGTGTTGTATGTGTGTATTTTATGTATATTTAGAATGGATGTTAGCGTTATATCAGAAGGAACAATCCAGTTCCAGGATAAAGACATTTAAAGATATTTAACAGAAGTACTTTGGTATATATTAGTAATACCAAGGACATAGATTCTATTTTATTCTATTTTATTTCGGTACTGTTCATTTTATCGTTGGGAAAAGAAAAAAAAATCCAAAACAAAGAATGGTCGGACTCCAAAACATATTTTGGACGTTTTTTTTTTAATTTATTTATTTATTTATTAAAAACTACATCAATACGGACTTTACTAACAAGAAGGCAATTACAGCTAATCATATTTTCATTTATTAATATTTTATTTTTCAATTTTCTTCTCTTTTTTGTATGTTTCTTTCTTTTCTCCCCTTGTACAAACGTTCTGTAATAAATAAAACAAAAAAAAATATTAAAAAAAGGTCCTGCTAATGGAAAGCAGTTACATTCGAGGAAAATTGGTAATTCTACTACGAATACGCTTTTTCCTTTGTTTGAACTTATTCATCAATGACCTCTTACGAATACATCTCACAATAAATATGTACAGTAATATTATTTAAAAAAACAAGAATGCTTAGTTTGTTTTTGTGAGATTTTGCATAAATTCTATACAATCTTTGGGCTATTCTTTCTGAGCCACCCAGTGCGTAACTTTCGAAAATACGGGCTGCACCTGAATGCACCACCAATGCAAACTGTCCCACACCGTCAAAGCAACAAGCTTGACCGGACAAAACGCCCACCGCTGCAGCGCTGTGCGCTCTGATTTACGGGGAAATAGCAGCAAAACCAGGTGTATTTCTCGGGACTGAACGTTGGTCTGGTGAGTGTGTTGTCGGCCGTGAGACGAAAACGATAGTTTTTCGATGTTACTGTGAGATAATTCGGTTCAACTTTTGTCCTGCGCATCAACGACGCAGGTGGAGGGATGTGCGTATTTCAGGATGCTCCGTCTCATGTCCCATCTCGAGGGAGAGGAGCGGAGAAAGTTTGTCTTAAGCCAGAAAGGAAACATATTTGCTGGCCGTTATTCGTCACATGCCTCGCTGAAGGACATGGTCAAAGTCCAAAATGTCCGAGACAGAGCGTCTTATTTCTCGTCTGTTAGCAGCCGGTGAACTGGTCGCAGCATCTGGACAGACGGTCGCTCAGGAGCAGACGGAGGCCTCGTTAGCAAAGAGTTCACTGTTAGCTTCAAGTGCTGTAAAGTCACTTATCACGGTCACCAGAGATACCCAGAGAGATATTATTGTAACAGGGAATTTAAATCATTATTAGAGTTCCTTAAACTGTATTTTCCCCCAGTGTGACAGTGTCATTGACCCAATAATGTTGAAACTGTACTTCATTGTTGTGAGCTGACACCAAGGTGCTGCTGCCAAGTTCAAAACAATTGTTTTTTTTTGTGTTTTTTTTGCCCTCATAATATTCTCTTCAGTCAAATTTCTTTTATTATCATTATAAATATGTACTACATGATGGTCTGACACAGTGAGACTGTAATGCTGTGTACCCTAAATGCTTTATCAGCATGTTTTTCTGTTTAGCCACAGAGGTAACTTATATTGATGTTACGTCATTATTTATCCTATAGCACATTTACAACACCAGCTATTGACCTAAAGTGCCTGCCAATAGGAAAAAAAAATATTGGCATCCTAAATGTATGTACCAAGGTTGAATGCTAGAGCTAAAACTCTACTACATTATCCATACACCACTAAATCCTCACTCGGGTCATGGGTGGCTGGAGTCTATCCCAGCCGACTTAGGGTGAAGGCAGGGGACACCCTGGACAGGTTGCCAGTCTATCACAAGGCTACACTTAGAGACAGACAACCAAGCACACTCACATTCACACCTACGAACAATTTAGAATCACCAATTAACCTCAACATGTTTTTGGACCTTGTGGGAGGAAGCCGGAGAACCTGGAGAGAACCCGCAGAGAACCCACGCTGCACGGGGTGAACATGCAAACACAGAAAGATCCCAGGCGTCCTAACCAGGACATCTTCTAGCTGCGAGGCAACGGTGCTAACCACTGCACCACCTTGCAGCCCCCTACTATATCATCCATCCATTATCTATACACTGCTTAATCCTCACTAGGGTCGCGGTTTGTGACAGCTCTATTGTGAATTCAGCAGCGATGTTTTAGCATAAAAATTAAGAAGCACTAGGAAGTCCTGCTCTTATACACTCATGCATGCCTGTGTCAGCTGTCGTGTAGCGAACTGTTTTATTTCATCCTGTCAATCACAGACACAGAGAGTCTTACAGTTAAAAAAAAGTAAAGAGCAATGTGTCCCTCCATAAACGGCGCCTCAGTGAAACTTTATACAGCATGATTTGATGAACTCCCATTTCCTTCCATTGTTTATTGTAACGTCAGGTACAACATCTCAGAATTCTGGCAAATATAGCCAAAATGTTACACAACTAAAATGGTTCTTAGTTTGTAAACTTGCTGCGAGCTTCTGCGTGTAGCTCACTGATGTTAAGCCCGGTTAGGTATCATGATTAATCCAGCACCCCTTCCCCCACAAAACAAATGATTAATTCACCACTTTTTCCTCACGGATAAACATGATTTACAGTTTTAGATGTGTCCCTGGCTGACAGACACCACAACCTGCACTATTTCCTTTCCACTGAAGGATAATGTATAGATCAATTTTATGGGTCTGAGTGCTTCTCAGCCCATGGCCTCATATTTACAGAACTGAAGCTGTAAGCTCAATTAATGATTCAGAGGTTTATGGTCTGTTCAGTGCTATGAATAATGAAAAAATGTGGTTTGTGATGTAACAAGAGGCGATAGTATTGTCCACTTGGATGCTGCATCACTAACAGTCGGATGTATTCCGACTATTTGATAATGAAAGCATAGCAGACAGAGTTCAGTTTGAAAATATTTAAAATTAAACATTGCAGCGTAGAGACAGAAATGTGGCTTCAGCTTCTTAGTGTGATTCATGTTTTGTTTTTTTTCAGTTACACCCAGAGGCACTTTGAGAGGGTTACTTGATACTACTGTGTGATCAGCTGGGAGTTGTGTGCAACTTGGAGGAGGGCAAATGTGAGAACAATACTTGAGTAACTTTGTTTTATAGCTGATTTGACTTGGTGAGCGTGCAAACTGCTGAAAAATGACTTGATGTTGCTGCTGAGATGTCATGATGCTGACAGGCAGCTGCATCCCTTCGGTAAACATAATTGCTCTGATTACTCTCACTTGCTGTGGCACAGATTTTCTGCAGAGCTGTCAAATGTCATAATAAGCTGGGCTTTGATGCTATTATGTCTGCTCTGCCTGAGTAATTTAGACTACTCGAGTTACCTGGTAGTGTCTGCGTTTGTGTTATTCTCTTATTCCATTTCATTGTCTGTTCCCTCAGATGCCTGCCTGCTATGGCGCATTATATTTGTTGTCATGTGAGGAATCCACACTATCTTATAAATCGTACTTTGTAAGCAGTCAGTTTATCACTTTGTTCCACAGATATTTTGTCATGTATTGATTGTTTTATTTTGCTTCTGCTGTGGGGGGAAATGAAGTTCTGTCAGGACAGTGTGTGTTTCATCAATCATCCACTCCTTTACTATACCTTATCTCTGTTACGCAGGAACACATATGTTGTTTTTTTAAGTGTTTTTTTTTATGGCCTTTGTGGTTGAGGTAAGTGGAGAGAGATAGGAAAGGTAGGGAGAAGGTGTGGTCGGCGAATGAGCATATGTATGTTTTTAACTACAAGTCGACAATTTCATTTTGCAGACTACTTTTGCTTAACTACATTAACGTTAATAGCTTTAAATGTCCTATTATCCTTTGTTTTTATTCAGGAACGCCGCAAATCTGCACATTCAGAGCTGAATCGAAGGAAAGAAGATGTCGGCAGTTTATAAAGAAGACCAGGAAGACTGGCTGACTGTGTGTCTGAAGTACATGCTTTTTGTTTTCAACTTCCTCTTCTGGGTAAGTGCCAGATAGCAAGCAATCATTTGGTGTAAGGTTTTCGTTGCCACTTGGCTGTTTTGTGAATGGAAATCACAATTTTATGCTTTACACACAGTAGTATTGTTTAAATGCTCTTTTAAATGTACAATATGGACGTCTTTTGGTTCAGACCTGTCAAAAGTGACCAAAAATGATTGGCATGAAAGTTTCAAGGATGGTATAACGCGCAGTGAAATGCGTTGTGCACCTGTTTTGACAAAGGGATCAGTAAAGGTTTATCTATGTGTTGTGTTGCAGAGATAGCTACTGAAGTTAGCATGCTAACCAGCGAGCCCTGCCCCTTTTCATCTCACAATACCACTTTGTATCTCAAGAGGTGATAGTGTACGAGTCAATGAGTAGATAGTATACGCATGATGTGGAAAGTAAAACACTGGCCTTACAGTTTCAATGTTTGTGAGTACGTGAGGGTCCATTTGGGCCCAAGTAAATTTTACGATCTCCTTAAGTTTAGGAGCGTCCATATGGGCACCTTCATAGAAGTCCCCTACCCACTGACCGTCCCAGTGGCGACTACACTACAGGGGCAGTGAAGTGTGCAAAATATGTTGATATGACCTACTGTGCATGAACGTAACTAAGTCCTGTCTGCAAACTCCTTCAAGTATGCATCTATGGGCGCCCCTATAGCTCATCTGGTTGAGCGAGCGACCCATGAACAGGGGCTATAGTTCCACGGCGCGGCGTTTGTGAGTTCAACTCCCGCTCGCGACAGTTTGCTGCAAGGTCTCTCCCCATTCTTCCCCCCCTCTTTCCTGTCTCACTCTCTCACTGTCCTGACTAATAAAGGCAAAAACGCCAGAAAAATAATCTTTAAAAAAAAGTAAGCATCTATTACACATCCCAAGGGAGTACAATCAAGGCTTAAGTTAGTGTTGTGTCCACCGGCTGTCAAAGTTTCAGCAATAGGAAGGACCAAAGACCTTGGGGAGAAACATATAATTTTTTCTCATGAGAGGGGTGGACACAAAAAACACAACTCTGTTGAACTATGCTGCCCCTTCTGTTGGTAGTTTTAGTTCATTTTTGAATGTTAATCCTAAATAGTGCACCTTTAAAACTCTAGGTTAATAGACATTAGAGTAAAGAGTCACATAGGAACAGACAGAGGATAAAGGAGAGTTTTAAGTCTTAAAAGGCTGAGCTATGGGCTCGGCCCAAAGTGAGTCATGGATTATTTAGGGCTTGTCAGTGTACGATGGGGAACCGTGCATCAAACCTGCTCTCTGGCACCACACTCTGTTACTGCAGTTCGCTGTTAAAGCCGTATGCTCTTAAAGCTCCTGTGCAGTGTCTTGGCTCACTTGGAAGCATTTTCAAAGTCTGAGACACAGTCAAAGAAAGGATTTTGAGTCAAGAGAAAAATCTGTGTGTGGGAGAGGTTAAAGAGAGAAAAGGGATCGAGTGTTATCTTTAGGCTTCAGTTAATGCTCTGTCACCCCCTTACAACTCACCTCTTGAGGAAACACTGTATCCCTCTCCTCTGTCGGGCAATTCTTCATATTTTCCTCACACCATCTCCCCCTCCCACTGCACCATCACAACATGCATCAATCTTGGAAGCAGTACATCTTTTGTCAGGGCCGTGCCGCTCTGACCTCTGCTGTCCTCATAATTTGTTTCTTATGATACTGATAACATGCCAGTCAGCAGCCTTTTTCAATTTGAACTGACTGCAAGTTGATTTGTTTGTATGCAATCTAAAAACATTATATAGTCTCTTTTCATCTACTTTTTTCTTTGATGAGACAAAACTTTTAGCTTGTCATCTAGTTAAATATTAAATCTGTAATCATGCAAAATGTGGATTGCATATCAGTGTTTGTTGTTTTTTTTTTTTTTTTGTCAGACTACAAAACATTTAGTGCCCTGCTGTGACTGAATAAGAGAAAATAATGAACACTGCATCTTATAAATACTGATAAAGTTTGTACAACTATACACTTTGGTAAGGATGCAGTGGGTTGGATTAGGCACCCATGCTAGTTTGGGATTTTGGTTGTTGATACTGACTTTTATATATATATTTAATCTTTCATGTGAACAACTGTAGTAAAGACATTACAGAAGAAAGATTCATAAAGATTCCCAGCCGGATCCGAACTGGGAAAGTATTGGCCCTTGCTTGGCAGCCCACTTTAAAACATTTCAGAGACATGTCAGTTCATTTTAATTCAGTTTACTTCCTTGTTGAACATAAAGTGAAAGTATATTCTAGTTTGAGAAGAGTCGTCTCTTTTCTTGCCCTGTATATATCCAAGTAGTGCCTCCTTGGATGGGCATGTGTTGCTGTGACTAAGAGGCTCTTGCTTTTGACGGAAATGGATGGGAGGATGAAGGGGGAGACACACTCTTTGGCATTTCCTATTTGTCCGCTTGCGCAACTCATGAGATGAGAAGAACAGATCTGGTCGCCACCCCGGGTCGCTCATTCAGGATTGTTTGTTAGGAAGTGGTCGTCATGTCCTGATCAGATCTCTGTGGTCTCACTGCTCCTGTGGCTGTTATTTATTATGTTCGGCCACTTTCTCTTTTTTCTCTTTCTGTTTCCTCTCAAGCCTCTTTTATGCTCCTTTTCTCACCCTTCCACCGCCCTGTTATGCTGCTTTTAACTCTGACTCAGCTCGCAGCATTGAACTCACTTCCTATGTGTCATTTCATGTACAAAAAGGGCTATGTTTGTCTTTTTTTGCATTGATGGTCTTTTATTTCTTTGTAATTAAACTGACATGACACACACATATTCCCTTTCTCTGCTCAAGCCATATCGCCACCTTTTTCCCATTTTATGACTCATGATTATGTGTTTATGCATATACACTTTTTTACCTTTGTAAACTTTAGCTCCAGTCATAATCTTGCTCTTTACCTTTATACACTGATATCGTTCTCACCTCACCCACCACCTCCTCTCCTCTTCTCCCCCTTTCTTTTCCAGATGGGTGGAGCTGCTGTCTTGGGTGTAGGAGTCTGGACACTTGTGGAGAAGAGCGACTACCTGAGTCTGCTGGCCTCCAGCACGTTTGCTGTCTCGGCATATATCCTCATCCTGGCTGGCAGCCTGGTGGTTGTTACGGGCTTTTTGGGCTGTTGTGCTGTCATCCGGGAACAGAGAAGCTGTCTATCCACGGTGAGACTTGAGAGACAAGAGACTAACGGGGATCCTGCTGAGGTCCCTGCCTTTACTTGTAGTTGGGGTAGATATGTGGGTGTGGGTAGATTATATAGTACTTTATGTACCTAGTCACATGTGTAGGGGGGTGAAGGGTAATTATGACTCACTTGGTTAAAAACTCTTTTTTTATGCCGTTACAAAATCAAAGATTTTATTAACAGACAAACCTGCTTGTTAAACGGGTAACAATTTATGCCAATTCTAAGTTTTCTTAAACTGCGAAAGTCCAGGTAGCAGTTTATTCTCAAGAAGATATTTTTCACCATATTTTGCAAAGTAGAGAAATAAATTCTGCAAAGTACAGATCCAGCCAACCGGGAGACAGACCAGGAACTCTGGGGATTTTTGCCAGTGTGGTATGCACCATAACCATTTGGCTATTGAGTCACCCAATTAATTCTACAATAAGAAGCAGCAAATAGACAAACAGTGGCCAGTGACAGAACACGGCATTTTTACTGGGAATCTATTGGAGTGTGTGTTGTGTTTTTTTTTTTGTAAAGAGCACTGCCATATTTGGTTTGCATTGGAGCTGATTTGATTTAGTAAAAATATCTAATTGCGATTTGAGTTGTGATATAGTTTTTAAAAGTCAAGCTTCAGTCCAATGTACTCTGTTGAAGATTTAAATCATTTGATGAAGCGCTACCACATGAGATACCATCAACTGTCACACGTGGATGACAACATGAATTTCTAAAACCCCTGACGAGACGGTTTAAACTCTTGTGTGCTGCACAACATATATCCTAAATTGCAGCCTTTGTTAATTGCATTGTTTCAAGATGTGGTTTTGATTTGACTTCATTTAGTTGTTAAGCCCTGTTGTGCATTTGGAAAAAACAAAATGTGTCTACTTCTTAATTTCACAATATATATTATAGTATTGTATTCATATATTCTTACAGCTTGCATATAAGAATTTTTTTATACTTTTCGACTTTTAATTTGCCAGAAATAATACAAGATACGCATCAGTGAACATGAGTCACACTGCCAGGACTAAAGGGGTGTCCTAAGTCATACCACTTGTAGAGGCTTTTAAATCAAGGTACAAATTAGTTTCAATACATTGAAAACAAACATTTCAATATAGAAGGGCTGGTTTTATGTTTTTATCACGTGTTGCATGGCTGTGCAGTATTTCTACCGTCCAGTGTACACCAGACACACTATGTCATCCGTTATGTAATAATAACAATGCTGATGGTCCGGTCTACTGGTTAGCGGTCCAAGATCGTCAGGTCCACTCTGAAAGGCTAGATGCTCGCCCACATGTCCAGCAAAGTTTGATTTCTCGTCATAATAATTGCATAACACCTGCACGACACAACATGGAACTCATCTGTACTAAACCAGGGCTAAGGTCGATCAGTAGATGCTGACAAATGGCTCTGACGCGGACCTTGCTGTCCTCATTATTTTACAGAGACAGGGCCCAGTGGGAAAGAAGCAGGCGGGAGGTGAACGTTCACTGCCGCAGGACTATTTATAGGTCTGTCTATCTACTGCTGATGGATGGAGCAATAGGAGAGAAAAAGGGGCTCGCAGGAGTGAATAGGCGGATGTGTAGACGTTTTAAATCTGAGGTGCAGTTTGGTACACTATCAACTGCATAGATGCGCTATTTAGAGATTCGTTTTGGGAGATTAATGACTGATGATAGCATGAACAGTAAGTGTGAGTAAAGAAGGGGCGAGGTTAGCATTTTGTGTGGGCAGCAGGCACACAGAGGATGGAGTGTTTTATGAAATCTTGTAACCAAGAGATACACAGCAGGCTGTGTTTCTGCATGACACTATTACTGTGATAACCACAAAACAGACTGTTTAAGTGTGTTCAAACATGATTGTTGCCCTGCAGCCATTTGTTACGAATAGTTTGCCATCACTTTGTTTGGTACGTTGTGCAATAGTTTTAAGTGAAGTAGCAGTGATGCTGTGGTGACAGTCTTGTTGTGTTTGTTGGTACAGGCCATGTCTGTGATGGGCATTTTATGAACAATAAAAAGCTTGTGTTATAACCAGCTGTGACGGCGTGAATGTTATTGTGTTCACCTTGCGAGTTTGTGTGTGTTGATCTGTCACAGTGGCAAACTGTGGTGCTGGAGAGTCCACACCTGCTGCAGGGAGAACCACCACAAAGGCAGTTTGAAGCACTTTAGCAGGTGTTGATGTGTTTGTCTGAATGTCTCCGGGTAGATTTTGTCAACTCAATAGTGTCGCAACTATGCAAGACTCACTCACAAAACTTTACAAGCATGTAGTTGGGATCAAAATGAAGGCCGAGTGCAAACATCAATCAATTAACCAATCAATCAGACTTTATTTATCTTTTATATAAGATGGGTGTTGTCTGACCCATAAGTACTTACATAATCGTAATACTCCTGGATCAGAACGTCTGCCTGCTCTGAGGCTTTGTGGGTCTTTTGGGGCGTTTTTCTCATTTTTCAGCCATTTTCATCTTTTTCATGTTACTGCCTGCTCCTGTAAATAATAGCGCTAATGGATTGGAGCGTAGCGTGTCGTTGTGATGGTCTCTAGGTTGAGTCGCAACGCGCTGTCAGAGCACTGTATGTGTAGGCAATGTGTTTGCTCCATAGTTTACATAACTACGCTCTACATTTCAGCACACACAATAGTGCCTGTCATTAAGGATGAAGCTTACAATTACAACAACTATTGTTTGTTTTTGGTTGACAGCTTTATTTTTAGCTGCTAAGGTATGGATTTAGAGCTGTTAATTACACTAATCTGATGTCTGATTTCTTGTTTTTTTCTTGAATACAAATGATGTTTATGCTGTGATGACGGTTAATTATTAAATCACCTTCCTTTTGTTTTAGCCGAGATGGGGTTTCGAAGTTGATTACGACAGATAATGGAATCAGTCGCAATCTGTGTGGAGAACTCCTTAAAAGATGCCTGCGAGAAATCCGATTCTCCAGCCTGTCAAATTGCTTTCTGGTTGTCTCACTTCATGCAGCATTGCCATCTGTGTTGGACGTGACAGATGCGGGACAATGACAGTTGATGGAAGTTTATATTGAGCCATCACAACTTGAGTTAGCGACGAGTTAGTTCAGGCAACAACTGTGCTGATGATTCTGAAGCTGAAATATCTGGATGAATTGAAAGCTCAAGTATGTTGAATTTCTCCCTTCATTTCTTTCCTTCTGTCCTATTTCTCATCCACAGTATTTCTTTTTCCTGCTGTTGATCTTCTTGATTGAACTTGTGGCTGGAGTGCTGGCATACGTGTACTACCAGAGGGTAAGTGATCTCTGCTCTGTATCTTCCTGTAGTTTAGTGGTGCTCTACAGTTAAGATCCAAGCTGCTCAAGCATTTGCAGTTGTTGAACTTAAAGCCAAAAAAGACATATTTCTTTAAAATATTATTTATGGGTAGCTTTGCTTAGAGAATGTTCTGATTGCTTCTTTGAATGTCAGTTGTTTTGTTTTTTTTGTCCCCCTTCTGGGTGCTTGGAAGAGCAACACCTGCAAAATAGCCAAAGCTCTGCAGTGAAGAGAAGTTTAAGCATGCTCAATTATGATAGCAGTACGAAAGTAAGCCAAAGGCTAAAAATATACAGAGTGTTTTTTGTTTATTCTCAAGTGCACTTGCTTGACATCTTTTTGGCCCACCTTGATGTTGCTTCATTTTCCTTATGTGTAGTGAGGCTGGTGTTTATGGCTTCTTCTTCTGCAAGATCTTGCTCCGAAAAAACAAAATGACAACATAGTAGATAAGATTGCATTAAGGAAAATAAAATAAGTATGCTAAAATAAGACTAGAACAGAAAAGTAAAAAGTAATGCTGGCAACGACACTGAGGTTGTAACTAATGTCACATGATGATGACATATTGTACATGAACTTGAAATGTTATACGTGACAGTGAAATATTGCAAATAAGCAGCATTTCTGCATAGAAAATAAAATGTTTATCCTTTTGTAATGTGTAAAAGCAGAAAAGGAAACATTTTATAGTGCAGTTAGCAGGTTTTAATCTTTTTTTTTTTTTTTAAGTTCCTAAAGTATTTACATAAAGGGTTCACAGTCTATAGGAAAATCAATGGAGTACAAAATACTTGATGCTAAAAGTACAAAAAACAAACCTTATCAAGCAAAAACAACCACGAGACAGAGTGTGCGACTGGGCCGGACAGTTTTAAAGGTTTCACAACACAGCAACTTACGGGAGCCTCCTCCGTCGACCTGGCTGACTGGAGTTTATCCAGTGCACAGTTCTTAGCGTCCTGTTATCTCCCAAACATCTGCCTGTCAGTCAGCTACAACTGTGAAGAACACAATGTTATCTGTGTGCAAGCTTAGAGATTTATTATAATGGAAAGGGTTCAGAACAGGATAGAATCACTTGAAAGATAAGGGTTCTCATCATCTCTCTGTTGTCTCTACTGTGTGTGTGTGTGTTTGTGGGTATTACTCATTTTGTGAGGACCTAAATCTCTTCAAACTGTCACAATATGGGAAAAGAAGACAGTTTATGGTGTAAACCTTGAAGTTCTAAGGTGAGAACCTGTTTTAAGGTTAGCTTAAAGTTATGGTAAGGGTAATAGATAGACAAGTAGTATTTAGGGTTAAGGTTAAAGTCAGACAGTGTGTGTACATGCACACAAATTTATACAGACATCAAAGGTTATATTTATAGTCTATTTCTTACAATGTGCTGTTCCTCCTCCTTTGCACAGCACTCACAGATGCACGGTAGATGTTACCTGACTATCATGCCTTAATCCTCCCACTCACTTCAACACTCCCTTTTATAGTCTTTGCTCCTATGATTTTTCGCAGCCCTGTTCTGTGTGTACTTGATGTGTTCCATATGTGATAATAAATTAGACAGCTTGTGTTGTGGTTACAAAATAAATTTTTTTTCCTCCCTCCTAAAAACTACACCCGCCCTAAGCCATCCCACCATCTCTGCCTCAAAGACACTGTTTCTCGCTGTGTTTATCTGCTGTCTCTCTCTTTGTTCTTCATTTCCAGCTGAGTGAGGAGCTGAAGCAGCATCTCAACCACACTATGACAGAGAACTACGCTCAGCCAGGGAAGCAGGCTATCACATTAGCTGTGGACAGACTCCAGCAGGATGTATGGAATATATTTACACAATCATCCTGTGTGTTGTATATGTAGTGCCCTTTTCAGTAAGCATGGTCAAGTGTATGTGTAGTCGTCACACATTTATTTTTCATTACTCAGTCTGTAGTTGTGATATATGATGTAGTTTAAAAGTATGCTGAGAGGCAGTAGAAGACATTTCTTATTGTTTTTCGTTAGGGATTACACAACAACATCGTTCCAAAAGTGACAAGTGAAATAGCAAGAGTTAAAATAAGGGAAAAGAATGTTTGTAGACAGTTTACTTAATATTTAAGTCGGATGGTGGTCTTAGCTTAATAATACATTAAACCACCAAATCTGAGAAGATATTAGAATCCAAAGGAGGGATGTGTGCTTTTGTTAAGGTGCTGTGACATTATGAAACCGTCAGTTTCCTCTTTCTGCCTCTCCAGTTCAAGTGCTGTGGCAGCAACAACTACAATGACTGGACGCAGAGCGTGTACGTGTCATTAGGGCAGGCAGACGGCCGGGTGGTGCCTGACAGCTGCTGTAAGACCATCACCCCTCACTGTGGCAGGAGAGACCACCCCTCCAACATCTACAAGGTGGAGGTCAGTGGATTACACACTTGTGGAAAATAGCTAAATGACAGCAACCATTTTCAGCCTAACTCTTGGGCAAGTATCACATCGAATGTGTTAACATTTCTACTACAGGTTTAGACAAAATAGTCTACAGTTATCACTTTTAGAATTTTTTTTGGAAGTGTTCCAATATAACAGTGGTTCCTTGATGGATTATCGAACTGCTGAGTGATTATAAGAACAAGTTACATCTTGTTTTGACAGGACAGTTTATAAAATAAGTCACTACCCGTATCCATTCCAGAGATATAGATATCAAATGAAAGGCTTTGTGATCATAGACGACAGATAAGACCCCAGAGACACAGAGAAGATGGAGGGAGTTACATTACCAATCACTGTTTGTTGGCAATGGTCAAAGCCAAACAATCTTGTCCGCTTGTTCAGGGTGCACATGTGCTTTTCCTCATCCAAATGCCATCTTATTTGTTGCAGACAAAACACTCTACAACAAGAAAGATGACTTGTTCATCATGAGGCCTTCCTCAGGCTTTTTCTCAGCTTTGTTTGTTTTGTTTGTAAGCATGATTGCACAGTTTCAAATTGAGTTCCGTACCCACAAAAAAAGCTCTACGTGAACAATGATTGGTTTGTTTGGTACACAAGTGTGCTAAACCAAAAAGCCAGCACTGAAATTATTTGTTACAAATACAATACATGTGTCGTTACACCCCCAATGCAAACACATCATTACACAACTTTATCTTCAACTTTTTATTGAATCCAAAAGTCCTCAAGATGACAAATTCTATTAATGGGAGGATTTGTACCAGTATACAGTGGACAGCTCTATTCTAAAGGTTAAAGATGATGCTTGGAAGGTTGAAGTGCTGCCTTTTAACAATCTCTTTAATGATTACTTTAACATATAATAATATAAATATGGAGGTATTAATTTAAGAGATCTTGTGTCCCCTTTTTAAATTTGAAATTCATTTAATTCCTTTTTTAGATTCAGTTTGCTAAAATACATGAGAGGACACCAAATACATTTAAGTTCAACAATATTTTAAGACCAAAGTGTTTACTGGACTTCGCTCGCTGATATAAAACAATGTCACTGGACTACTAAAGAGATTTTCCCTTGTCCTGATGTTTCACTTCCTAAAACAAAATAGAAAGAAACACAGGAAAGCAAGAGTAGTTTGAAACTTTACTCTGATCGAATGAATGAATAAACAATGAGGTTTTGAATGCTTATCCATGCTGCACAGAGGATGTTTTCCCACCTTCTTGTGCCAAACCCTTCACTTTCCCCTCTTATCACTCACAATGTGCTGCCTGCATCACGTGAAAATGTACTTAAGATAAATAGGCTAGGTAGCCGAGCTTTAATAAACCCACACATTTCCTGCAGCATGTGCTCTTGTTTGCTGCAGATATGTAGATATTCGCCATGCAGTATTACAGAGGAAGTGAGCTTTTAAGAGTGTGCGATCTGATCTGATATGTTTTGTCTATAATGTGACGCCTAACTTTTTACTCCTGCAGGGTGGTTGCATAACTAAACTGGAGCAGTTCCTGGCGGACCACCTCCTGGTCATCGGTGCCGTGGGCATAGGAGTAGCCTGCCTGCAGGTACGTACAACACGATGCGTAGTTCAGACAGTAGCTGAAGAAGCAGACCACAGTCCTGCTGTCTTCATGCTGAGTAATCTGTCCTAAAAGTATTATTTTATCATAAATGAGAAGCTGCTCCTTCCTTTGTAAATGAAATGCTGCCCTTTGTTGAATAGAACCTTACAAAACCCAGGCAGATGGGTTTTTAATCTTTCCATTTCTGAAAATGAACCATGGCAGCTCAACAACCTCTAAATGGACACTTCTTTTCATCCCATCCAAGCCTTTCTGTCATCATTATCTGATTTTGCTCATTCCTGTTATTTGATTTGTCCCAGTCTGAGATGGACTCAAGCTTTTAAGCCTCGCAGATAAATATATATTTATACTGTATATTTTTTGCAGGCTGGCAACCCTTGCACAATGTGGCTTTGCACTTCTGTGTAAGTAACTAAAAGGAAAGCTGAGACGAAACAAACCTGATTGTTTCGGTATTTCTGGACTGTTAGGCCCTTCAATGGCCACCATTTTGCTCAGCTTTAATTAGGCACCAGGGAACTTAGAATAAAAAAGACATGAGGCCAGAATCTTTCTACCATAATTATCGAGACTTGCAACAGCAAAAGATGAGAGCTGACCAGTCGTATAATCTCTGCGATGCTTTCTGCCGCTGAGAAAGGAATTTTAGAACAACGCTTTCCATTTGCTGTTGCTGCATCGCAATCATTGTTTTTCATCTCCAAATGATCTGAAGGGACTGAACATTAAAGTGTTATGTGACTCTTATTAGTGTCATTAAACACTTTCTGAATAAATCAAAGCAAATATTTGCTTTCTTTTTGTGCGGTAGCCTTCATGTCTCGTCCAGTCTGTCTTGATGTTGTGTACTTTCTTCTCTGTCATACTGACTGAACTTTTATGTCTGTTTAAATGTGCGTTACATTAGCTGTAGTTTTTATACCTATTGCATTAACTATATGTATTTGTCCTGTGCCACACTAATCTGTCTTTTATACGTTGTACTGTATGTCTTCATGTGTGTGTTTGGTGTTGCTGTAGCTGGCCGGGGCGCTCTTGACAGCCTGCTTTATCTATCTACTCTATAAAGAAGAGGAAGAGGCCTTTGGTGCATTGTAATTTGGCTCTAGAGTGCCTTGGTGGTTTAATCAAATGGAGAGAAAAGGTTGGAGGGCATTGTGGATATTTGATATTTTACTGCACATTTGTCATTGTGTTACTGCCTGCTACGTGCTAAACGTGAAATCTACAGTCTGCATGTATACTGAATGAACATGTACACGTTCTTACGCGATCTTTGCACTGTGTGAAGCTTGCAGCTGCCTGGCTTTGGCTGTATATTACAGATTGTTGCTATGCATGTAATGATAATGGGCTGTTGCGGGTGATAAGGCTGTGACAACTTGAGAAAGGTCAAGCACATCCTGAGAATGGCTTGATTAATCACAAGTGAGCTGCTTGTGCACAGTGCTGTGGTTTGCAAGAGCCATGATCTGAATCTTGACACAGCACTGCTTCATTCTGTAAAGTACCTGCGATGGCAGGAAAAGAAAAAAGGCTTCAGTGAAATGTATGTATATCATATATAGCTAGGTTTTGCTGTACATTCCTGAAGCTTATTGTTAAGCTTCATTTTATTTTTAGAGAGAGGACAACTGGGTGTGGAGGTGGATATAGTATGCAAATTTTAGATAATTTTTATCAAAAATTTGATTCCGATCTTTACAAAAGTTGAAAGCAGGAGAAGTTGCATAACCTAAGTTTAATAAAAGTACTGAAATTGAAAGATAATGCGCCATACAAGTCTTATGTTTACCTTTTTTTTTTTTCATACCAAAACCTCCATCACATTACCGTTCAGGAAGATCATTAGTGCTGTTGCTATAGTTACTTGAAATCTAAAATAGATGAATCTACCAGAACATTCTTGAATAGAGACACAGTTATTTATGTTGTCCAGATATAGAATTCTGCCATCCAGCTAGATGACATGTGTCGGTCTAGATTTCTTTTAACGCTGTTACATCATAGTTTTTAATATCTCCTGTCTTCCTAAATTAGGCGTCGGGCAAACAAAAAAATCACAGAGGCGTATTGTTTCACCTTTCCACCTGTGAGCCAAAACGTCAGTCATCCTCTGTGCTTCTACATGCCTGCCACTGGTGGTTGAGAAGAGAGAGAAAAATTGTGGAACTTGCTCAGAGACAGAAAGTGATGAGTCAATACACAATGCCTACTCACTTGATAAGCCTTTCTCAGAGGGCTTTTAGAGACTCAGAGATGGAATCTGGGCATTTGCCCGTGAATCCATCAAGCCTAGTAGGCCAGTGGCTACAGTCAATGTCTGCTCCTGCTGCTCCAACTTTGTTTTCAGACCTTTTCTGTTTCTGTCGTCACATGTAGTGGTGCTTCTACAAATCATATCATGTCGGTTCTTTATGGTTCTACGTACAACTATGAGCTCACCTGAGTGTCAAACGATGACAGTATCTGATCATGCTTATGTATAAATGTAGAGATGTGGAAAGATGAATTTGAAAAAATGGCATCACTTAATTTTACAGCATTCATACACGTTTTTTTTGTTTATAGGACCTTCATATTGGAATACTTTCTTTTATTACATCAACATAAATTGAAGGCTGCAGTTTTGAACCCACACTCTAGCAAGATATTTCTTGCTAAAAACCACTTGTCTTCAGTAGTTGAGTGTAACTTTTCTCAAAAAAAGTTATTATGTTTGTTAATGTGGTTTTCTTTGGGGAGCTAGTACACACAACATGAGAGTTTCTGTTGCTGATGCCCTTGTGGTCTAATACAATACAAACAGAAGCAAATACTGGATAAATTCCATTTCCAATTCTAAATGTAAGTAGAAGTCATGTACACTGGATGCAGAGTTAATTTTAGTTTGGAGACCTTTAGCTCTGAAGAAAACTAAGAATTCTAAGATTAATATTTATGCATGAATCTGCTTTTTCACGTCACCCGCAGCTTCGTTTTGTTGCTGTTTATGCCAGTCTGTGTTGACACATGGTGCTGCAATAAAGGCTGCTTGACTCCTGACATCCCCATAGTAACCAGTTGCATATCTTCCAGCGTTGTCTTAACCTCTTAGCCTTTAACCCTTCTCTACCCTGCAGCCCGTAGCATTCAGGCTTCCTGCAGTCTTCCATGGTGACTGAGCCGCACTCTTTGACCTAACACTTCCTGTTTTCAGATCTGCGGGATGGTGTTCACCTGCTGCTTGTACAGAAGGATCAAGATGGAGCCGTACTGAGCACACCAGGCCTCCAACACAACGTCTTCAACAGGCAGATGGAACGTGGCTTGCTGACAACTAACTTTGACCTCTGAATTTTGACCTTCTAATTTAAGCCTCGTGCACATACATGGCTCCGATCACCGACCTTACAGTCAGAAACAAATATTTTTGTAAACTCACATGCAGGCTAGTGAATTTCTGTTATTTGACTGTGATCTAGGCTAAATGCGATTAGATCACAGCTGAGGTTTAGGCCTTGTCCACATGTACTTTGGCATTTTTCAAAAAACATTTTTTTCCCCGATGTGTTCTGCCTTTTGAAGTAGAGTGTCCCTCCCACTGTGTCCTTCTGGCTGATGGTGCTAACATTGCTAACAGCGCTTTATACATGTTTAATGACACATGTACAGTTACTGTTGCCCTACATGTAGGATATAGAGGAACAGAGAAATCAAAATTAGTCCATACATGTATACTTGGTAAATGTTCTGCACCTAAATGGAGCTTTTTGAACATTAGCTAGGTTCTGCTAAGTGCCTCATAATAGCTGTGCCTAAATTTAGGGGCTGCATCCCTTGAAGGCCTTCATGAAATGCAAAAATTAAATCAAACATTTCTAAATTTGATGGTTTGGCCTATGAAGGACTTCCCACAGCTCAACACCTGTCACCTAGCAACATTGACAGCCGAAGCTGACAGCTGGGACAAAAGCTGAGACTTCAGTTGTTTTGTCCACCAAATTGTCAGAAATGCAACCTGTGTGCAATGAATCGTGGAAAAAGACGAATCCACCCTTTTGAATCCTTGGCAACCTTGGAAGAGAAGGACACATTTACTTCCATTTGAAGGAGTCTTTGAAATGGGACACTTTCGTCACATCACTGTGATGCATTCAGTCTTGGAATGCTGCCTTAGAGGGATGCAGGCCTGAATTGTGACACAACTAATGTGTTCCTCATTCACACACACAAATAGCAGATCTGCCACCATTGGGATCAACTTGCCCAGGGACACTTTAGCGAATGGGGGTACGGGGGATAGGGCCATCAACCTTGTTGTTGGTCGACAATGCGCTGTACCACCTGAGCCACGCCTGCCCCCTTCTTTAATCCACCATTGTTGGTAACCTGCCAGAACCCGTTTTTCCCAGGCTTCTGATTGTCCAACATGGCTTTAGAGTCAGAGCTACGTTGCCGTCTGTTGGTTTCGCATCTCCTGACACTGCTGCAGTTTTCATGTGGGCAGAGCTTTTCATTAAACAGTGCTCGTGTTGACAGGAGGAAGCACCAGTTTAAACAACACCTGTGTATGTGTGGACGAGGCCTTAGATGCATGCTTTAACTTGAGCAGGACTAAACAAAGGGAAGTAAATAACTGATACAAACATTCTATGCAACTAATGCAAACTCATTTAGCGTCTTTTCAATGTGCAGATTTATTACAATACGGTTTTGGCCATTCCAATACTTGAATAAGCTGAATAAGGGCACTCTGTACACTTGTGCCACTCTTAACGAAGAGAAGTTATTTTTGCTTGTATTTTTTGTAAACACAATGTGCCTCTTTCGTAATTCTGCTGGTAAATAATTACATGTTAATTCTGTGCCTGAAATCTTAAAAGGAAGCTGACAGTATATTGGAATAAACAGTAACAAATATTATGGGTTATCTTTATATTTTTTAGTGATACATTCATTCCTGCAAGTAGTGCTACTTGTTTAACTGTATGATGATAATCAAAGTTAACTTAGTAATAAGTTATGAAGTACTCAAATGTATGACCACGAAACATTGAAGGAATAAGGGAAATTCATCTTCTGAAATGGCTGCCAAATCTCTGAATGTATACCTCCATCTAGTGGTTGGTTTGCTCATTTACCAGAATTCTGTGTTCTTGATGTGGGATCCTAAGAAACACACATTTAAGCTGATTAATTTAACATGACCACAGTTCACAATGCATTAATTTTTTAGCTTATTTTGATACTTACAATAGTAACGAAGAGGTTTTGTTCAGTACAGTAGAGAAGATGATGATTCTTTGAGCCAAAGAAAGCAAAAGGCCACATGGCTGTTGACACCTAATCTCTCAATTGCCATCCTTCATGTCTTAGTATAGTGTCTTATATACTGTAGATGTTATAAGTATGTATTAAGTCTTATAAATTAAGAGTAATATGTGCTGTCAGGAAGTGTTTTTTTTCTTTTTTTTCCCAAGGATCCTTTTGATATTTCTTTTCATAAATCCCTCACAAGACTATAAAACCATTGCCAAGACTGCATTCTCTGCAAAGGGACCTCAGAAATCCTTTATCATGCTTTTTTTTTTTTCTTTCTGATTGACTTTCAGATGAAGGGTGCTAACATATGTTGCTGGTTGCTGATGAGATAATGATATAACATTGGCATGTGCTCCAACTACTGACTGCTGTATTCAAAATATTGATCTGAAGCTCATAAATAAATGTTTAAATATTGTTGCGTTAAGAAGTTATCTGTTTTTTTTTTTTGTATGAAAGACAAATATTTACTCTTGGTTTAGACGGCTATGATGATTGCAGTTTGGCAGTGCACTGGTTGATGAGATTATAATTGTAGGAACATTGTGTTTGGTTTATTTATTGAGGCCAGAATTATAAATTTGTCAGAGTAATTTACTGCTTCTTTGTTTCTCCGTAGACCTTTATGTGTCCAAGGAGCATGTCAGCTGGAGTATTTGACCACTAGAGGGAGACAGAGATTTTCCATTTGCAGTGGTGCAGGTTTGCGATCCAGGTAATGATCTCAAATAATCCTGCTGTTTTGTTAAGCATGATCCAGCTGGGCCGGTTTGCTTTTGCCATATGGTCAGAGTGGGTTTCCTAAATAGCACTGCTATACTCTTACCCAACTGTCCTGTAGTGTTTGTGAAGAATTACCGTGACGGGGCGTCGGAAACCTGCCAAATTGGAACTTGCGTGTTTAATATAAACTGCAAGCGCCTTGTGTGTTAGTCGCTGATTGAAACGTGAACCTGATACTTGTGAGAACTAAAACTCTGCTCTTCTGCTTATTGAACTTGACAAGCTGCACCCATGTGTTTGAATCTATCCACGCTAAAAATGTATCACTTATCTATTACAAACTCTGCCTGCTGACTAGACGCACGTCAGATTCAGCTTGCTGAACAAAATCGTTGCTAATCTTCTCATGTTTGTACAGCTATGGGGTCTCTTGTATTAACTCTGTGCGTACAGTGAGCAGTGTCGGAGCCTTCCAAGATAATGTGAGCGAATTGTTCATGTTATCATGTGAGCTTTAGCGAACGGCCATTGTGAGAGAGCACTTGTTATGTGTGGGGTCTACCACAACTCCACATTGGAAAATGTTTAAGTGTTCCCAGTTTAAACCGCATTTATTCCTGATGCAGCGCTTGTGCTGTTCTGTGTGGTTTCAGGGTCTTGTTGAGGGAAAATCTCAATATCTTAAACACTGTGCCGTGCACACACATTATTTGTGCATTATTGTTTGTGCTATATTGTTGCCATATGACCTAACTCTTTGTCTTTGAAGCACAACTTCTTTCTCTTTGTTTCCTCGCCCCAGATTACTTACAAGACGCTGTGTCAGTTCAGAGCCATCTATCATTGTCACCCATTTAGGCAAAAATGGGGGAAAAGTTTTAAAAGAGTTTGGATATTCTCCAGCTTTTTGGCTTCAGTGAGCCTATAGAGTCTGTCAGTCCCTTTGTCTTCATCAGCTATACGAGGATGGCTCTCATTTCCTGCAGATGTCACACATACTACAATGCAGAAATACTGACAAGATAGAAACACACACACACAACTGAGAGGCTGTACGCATTAGCATGTGGTTTACACCCTTTGCCAAAAGGGACCCATGAGGGAGAATTGAGAGCAGCTGGAGATTCACAACTCCCCATGTGTTGAGGCCTCTTTGCATCTCACACACACACACACACACACACACACACACACACACACACACACACACACACACAGTACTTACACCCTCCATCCTCTTCACATTGTAGCTGTAGGAACGATATTTCAACAGGGACAGCTGAAGAAGTTACCTAAGACCACATGTTGCGGTATCATCTATCTGCTGGCCATGAGCGTGTGTTTGCATGTGTTCGGGTAGCACGCAGAAATACCTGCAGTTTTCTCTCAAAGGCCAGTAAAACATTCCAGGAATGAGTAAAAAATAAATAAATAACTGCTTTTGTTTTTCTACAGTTTTGCACATCTCTTCCCCCCCTTGTCGGCCTGCTCGAACACGTCTGAGTTGTGGGTTTTCTTTGTCCAAAAGGCGTTTGTTGATCTCTCATAAAACATATTCTGGCACAACACCTCTCTTGCCTGGGGAAGTGCACCTGTGTTCAATATGTGCATAAATACTTAGGGCTTGAGTTGTGGTGATTGAACGCTGCAGCGCCTTTAGCATGAAAGATGTGTGGGTAGAGAACTCAACATTAACATTTTGTGTTTTTTGAAAACGCCCCTGTTTGCATGTCTTGACGACAATGAGTGTCTTGCGCTGAAATTTAACTAGGATTACCTCAGTGTCCACGCAATGGGCCTTTGCTCAAGCGCTGCAGCTGACTCCATCTGTCTGAAGCCGTGCCACCATTCAAAATAATGTCATAATAATAACAGTCCATGAGCAAGGACTTTGAAGTTTAGACCACCAGAGTTACAGACACAAAGGTGGGTCAGATCAATTTAAATGTCAGCTAGCATTTGTCAGCCATTAAAACAGTCTGGAAACAAACTTCAAAGCAACATTACAATAAACCAAAATCCAAATAGGCTCAGTTATTTGTACACAAACTGCAGGTGCTTTCGTGAAATTGTGCAGAATTGTAGAATCGCAGAATACAAATGGATCGTCTGTGACAGAGGATTCCTGTCCGGTATTGGCAGTGCGTAATCAATCAACAACTACGTCCAACAGAGTAGCTACGAACATGAATCATACTTGATGTCTGGGATGAAATATAGAAATTAAAGTCAGGTCTTAAAGGTCCAGTTTGGTCCAGATCAAAGCCCCTTGTGTGTCAGATTTGGTTTCTAAATCTACGCTGACCTTCATACTGTGACTCACCTCTCGGTGAGTTTGTATCTGGCCTGCAACACATTAGCTCTGGCCGTAAATGTGTTTGACAGATTTCTGCAGGGATCAAAGGCGTAGGGAAGGAGATGGCGTGTTTAGATAACTTCAGCACTGGACGTCAAGGCTTTAGGAGGCCGTAGACCTGCACGCCAACATAAATCTAAATCTAATATCTGTCCTTATTGAGCAAAAAAGATCTTTTTATTGGCGTTTAAACGTGAGCGTAGGTGTCAACATGGACATAAGCTACTACCAGGTATGCGTGTCCGGTGTGCATGTAGAGGGTGCTTCAGATTACATTTCCTCCCAAGGCCTCAGAGTGCTGGCTACAGAAATGCTCACAACGCACTAAATCGATAGGAAATCCTTTAAAGTCTCCATGAAAATACAAAGTCAACAACACTTTGACACAAGAAATTATTATGTCAGTAATTTGATTCTTGAAGCAGTGGTTCCCACTCTTGGAGTTGGTGTCCAAAATGATGAAATAAGTTAGGAAAACAGAATTTAAACCATTTCTGTGACACGACTTGTGTGTTTTTAATGTACTGCACAGTTTTTAAGTCCAGGTAAATTTAAATCTTTGGTCAAAGTGGACACTGCGCTGAGACATTCTGCAAGCAAGAGTCACAAGCAAGCAAAACTTCATTTAAAGTGGTCATAAGCCTCTAAAATCAGGCCGTGTGTTTGCCTTAAATAACTCATCTATAACATTGTGCTAAATTAAGGTGAAATAAACTCCAATG